GTCTTTGAATAAACCATGACCAAGAGCCCTTGGGAAGTCTTTGTGTAGCGCCAGCCTGAAGACTGCTGGGCTAGCCTGTTTAGTCCACTGTGCTGCATGTGATGGGGTCCATGGCCAGCGTGTGCCCTCAGCCACTGGGAGTTCAGGCTCAACCGAAATCTCTGCTCTACACAGTACCAACCCCCAACACCCTTTCTACGCGAACACTGCTCTTCAAGCATGACCAGAGCCTGCAGCCTTGCTCTGAATAACCCTTCAGACCACTTGGACACTAGAAGCGAAGATTTATTAAAAAGAGAGGGTCTTTCCAAATGGATCTCCCACCCACCAGGGGGCTGGGTGTCCATATATTTGGCGGAAGGGGCTTTTATCTATTGGGACAATTTCCTTTACAAATAGTGCAGTGCTCTGCGTTCAGCTAACTTTCCTGTTTGGCCGACTCAGGAAATCACCCGGATTACATTCTTGTCCAGACCATAAAAGACTAGAAAAGATTCTCTTCTGGCCTCGAACTGACCCCAGTGCTGTCCTGAGTTTTTAATTTTGGGTGTGGGGGGAACAGGGTGAGTGGTGACAGATTTAGTCGAGTCAAGAGCCTCGAATCTGTCATCATCTTTAGTAAAACTTCCTTCCTTCAGTGCCCCCGACCTGCAAAGCATACTTTTGACCTTCTTCTGAACTGAACTCAGAATGGCCGTGAACGTTACGTGAAGTGGCTTTGAAACTTCAGGTGCTGCTGGTGGAGGACAAAGGCCCTGTGTTCTTCCCCGGCAGATCCACAGGACCAGAACCATCGCAGTCGCTCAGTGGGTTTCGAAGCAACTGACTTCTGTGTATCGAAGTCTGCAGTTTCCAGAAGCCAAGTCTGTCTAGGCTTGTAAATTGACCCTGACTTTCTCTTTCATTTCTTTGCAGTAAAATGCAAAATGGAGGATGAAGAGGCTGCAGCTAAGACTCCACAAGCTTAACAGCTGTCGCTATCTTTCCCCTCTTTGCTCCAATTACCCCACTTGAGGAAAATGTTCAAGTTATGCTTCCTCTATTGTGCTTTCTTGAACAACGAGATTTGGTGCATTCGGATAAGAATCTTTCATTGCAAACATGTTGTAGTGCAAATAGTTTATCATAAGAAAGTACTAGTTTTAACTTTCTGCATTATCCCCCAATTTTATTCTTTCATTCGTATATTTCATCAGTGCTTCAGGAGTATTCTTCTTACACCAACCACTGCTAAAATGTACAGTGGACTCTGATTCCAAGAGATGCTAAAGTTTTCTCTAGTTACCAGTTTCCCAGTTTTGGCCACCTTTGCAAAGATCCATATTTAAAATAAAGTCCCAAACCTCTGCAGTGGGTTTTAAGTTTATCTTGTGAGTACTCTTTTCATAAAAAAGTCATTATTGCCTGTGATCATTTCCCAAGGAGACTGACCCTTAACTTTGACTGCATCAAGATAAGACACTTAAACCCAGACAACAATAAAGATAAAGAATTTTTGTTGTCTAGGCCCCAAAGCATTATAGAAATTCCTCATTTTATGGGTAAACTGACTTATTACCCTCAATTGTTCTGCAGTTTGCTGCTAACCAGGATTCTCCCATTCAAAATGCCACAGACAGCCTCCAGGCAGATCTGAAAGCCAAGTAGTTGTATTGGGTTGTTTTGACAAGCTACCACACGTCTTAAGTAAACAGTAAAGCCTTTATTTTTTGTGTTAAGAACAGCATTTTGAAAATAAAACCTATTTGCCCATGCTTTACAATCTTTTAAATTTGTAATATTTATATACAGTCGTTTATGGTACACGCTGATTGTCCTGAAATTTCTTTAATGATTTTTTTAAAGTATGCAACAGCCAGGGGAGGATAAAGGTACATTATAAAACACACATTAATACATTTAATAAATATATATTATCTATCAAAAATGAGCCTTAGCTCTTTATCAATGAATAAAAAGCACCTGCTGAGAACTCCTGTAAGCTGGTATAACCATTGCATCGTTGGATTATAAAAGCCACAATGCTCCCTTTCGGTTCGGGGTTCAACTCAGCCTTGCCTAACCAGGAAGACCACTCCCACTTTGCCCACGTTCTGTGGGCTCTGACAGAATCTGTGCTAAAACAATGACTCCCCAGCTTTCAACAACCAAATCTGCAACCCTTGAGACACACAGAACTTCCCAGTTTGTCAATTCTTGGGGCCGATTGCCTCCCTCCCTCCACTCCATCTCCAGGGGAGGAATCCAGCACAGAATGACCGTTTTCCATTAGAGGGGA